TTACCATTCTTTGCAAAAGGAAAGATGTTTAATAGTAGAGATATAAAAAAAGTACAAAAACAATTTAATTTAGTCATCAGTCTGCAGTGTAGAAAGTATGTAGGTGCACAAATTTGATCCAAGCATTAGGAATTACCCCTGCTATATTGTCTGCATCTGAAAAAAGAACACAAGAAAGGAATTAAAGATGAACAGGACTCTAATAGATCATGCTTAGCTAAGGTGCTCAGCCCTCATAGGAAAGCCATTTGAGGTAGCTCCTTGCCCTAGTTGCAACTAGACTAAGGAAAAAAAAAGCTTCCAGAACAATATGCGATGTGCATAATCAGTGTTACCGTCTTACTATGTTCTCATACTAGACCAAGGTTAGAGGCCACTCATTGTAATGGGTGGCAATTAGCTACCCAAGTGTTTAAAAAAAAAAAGAAAAAAAAACAACCACCACTCTGGCAAGCAGCAAATAAGCTGTACCTGGTCATGTTATACACTGTGCCTACAGCCTTGCCCCTCCCCCTTGGCCTTCCTGCTTTTGATCAGAGGTCAACTAGCAACTCTAATAAAAAAGTTCAGGAAAAGCAGCAGTGATACTGCTATATTCTGTAGACACAAAGCTTTATACGTCCTTCTGGTTTAAAGGAGGAAAGGAAGATTCAGTTTATACCCATTATGCTGCAGAAGCCCACGAGACACTGTGCTTGATCCCATCACCTTGACATTGGATTCAGAGGCTCTCATTATAGCTGCACATCTACAAGGAAACAGAACCATGCTGAACATCTTTTTATTGTGCAAATGTGTGGCAAGATCTTGCTTATGCATCCACTTCTTGTCATCTCTGCAAAAGTGGTCACCCAACTGCACTAGAATCTTACTGCACAGGACAACGAAGGTAGCTCTGCCTAGAAGAGACGGATCACTATATTAGAAAGGCTAGGGCTCGAGACATTTTACTATTTTTAAACTCACTGGTTCCTACCACAGAACTCAAGGGCTATTAAAAAAGGTCAAGTCCCAGTCCATAGAAAAGGTAGAACTGAAGTGACTTGAGAGGTTGTTCCAGGTATGACTGATGGGGGCTGAGTGGCTGAATTCTACCCCCTGCTTAAGTTCCATTGGGACTTACAGACTAGAACCAAGACCTCCCCCATTCAGAGAAGTTATAATTCACTAAAAGAAGTTGGTGACCTTTTCCAATCAGGGGAATGCTGTCCTTTTCTCCTA